CAATTTTTGGTCAATATCTCCATATTGTGACTGCGAGAAGTAACTCATTTTGTCAGCACGCCTCACATATATATATATATATATAGTTACTTAGTTATATATAAATAAATTTGTATATCCTGAAGTGGAGTTCGGTAGACCTGGTCCTTCAAACGCCACTACCAGAAAAACTCACAAGGTAAGAGCAACCACACGCTCATTTTAAGTTCCTGTATAAGATCTTTTTACTCTAGTGAGACAGTACAACAGCCTGTGCCCACCACACATGCTGGAACAGCCCATTTTGCTGTCGCTCTAAGTGGATTGCCATATTTGGCAAAAATCTCTTCTCTCATCACTAATTGCAGATAGGAATGCCCATTTACAATGTGCTGAAAGAAAAGTGGACATATTGTCATACAATTTCCTTAGAGTTATATCTTGACAACTACGTTCTCTCTGTTACCGTTAGCTCTCTGGTCAAAGTTGAAAGTTGGTGGCTGCCTACTGGGAGTGTACTGAGCCCCGTTGTGGGTGTTGACCTCACTATTCATTGGAACCCAGCCACAAGCGTTATGAAAAAGTTGCAAAGAAATTTGGGATCCCTGGCACACCTTCCAAAAAGCCACTCACAGAATTGTTGTCTTACCGCATGATCAGCTGGTAAACATTGGCGCCAAATGTGCATGTGATAAGGATGGAGACCAAGGTCAAACGAGTTATCCGATTCAAGGAGGCTGAGCACAATCTAACATACATGTAATTTCTATTATACACTTGTGTCCAAAGCTGACACTGAAACATTGAAAAGTACTACATGATGTACAAACAAAATAATGAGGTATTTGTACTGGACACGTGTTGACCAGATTATAGACAGCGAAACTGCTCTAACGACAACCACCCGTCTAAGACATCTGCACAAAAAAACCAATCCTACCCCCTCCCCCCCTCCAAAAAAAAATCCTTGCGATTTTTAAATATTATAATGAATCTGAAAAAGTAGAAACATCTCAAAGACTACCAAAATGAAAGTTCTAAAATGCTATGTTTGGTCAACCCTTCTATATGGCTGTGAATGCTGGACAATCATTAAAGAGAGTGAAAATAAAATAGACGCAATAGAAATGTGTTGGGTGTTTCTTTTGTTTATTTTTTTGTTTTTTTTGTTTTGTTTTGGAGACTACTGAGAATATCGTGAGCTTAAGAAAGAGAACTCAAATGAGGTAGCGCTTGATGAAGCCCACGTGGGATGATAAGTGTTAAGGGCTGGTGGGGCACCTAGAAATCATGTTTTGGGGTCAAATTTTGCAAATTGGGGTTATTACATATTATAGTACCTGGACATTTCCTGAACAATATCCAGAAACATGTGTAAGCTTTGCTACACCCTAAAGCTGTGTTTTTTGTCAGGTTTTTCTGCAAAGGCACATGTTTTCTAGCCTTTTCTTACCTGTATCGGCTGTTTTCTCACAATTCTATTTTTTCATACATTATCCCATTTTTCTGCCCTGTTTCTTGTTCAGTTTTGATGTCACTTTCACAGGATACAAACAAAACCTAGTTCTAAATTTGGTTTGTTGAATTTTTGATTAATTGAGTAGTTTTTGATTTATGGGCTTAGAAAGCATATATTTTCCATTTTTTTCACTTTTTTGCAACATCCCAATTGTAAGTGTCATAAAATAAAAACTAAAGCATATATCAAAACTTCAACGAGCTAAATTTAAGAGCTACGTATTTACTGTTGGCATGCAAAATTAGAAGTGAATCGGTTTATAAATAAGGGAATAAAATGGGACTGAAAAGGTATACAAAATCCAATATGGCCTCTGTTTCCATAGCAACCGATTCACAATATACTTTTTGAACTATTGATTTAAAATCCCCAATAACACACGATGTCCCACAGCAAATATGGGCACTCTAGGCCTTGTAATAGCCAAAATGGACCTCAGGTGCCCCACCAGTCCTTAAACACAATCAGGTAACGACAAATGCAGTTTTTGGGACACCTGAGTAGACATACAGGTCTTGAACATCTAGCTCTCACTGGCAAAATCTCAGGCAAACGATGGAGGGGTGGTCCCAGAGCAGCCTACTCAGGGAACCTAAACAAATGGGTTTCGGGGAAAGATCAGGGAAACGTAGCCTCCGAGCAAAGGAATGCATGGAGAACCATGATCGCCTATGTCTGTCGCAGATCTGGCACTGGATGAATAAATAATGAATCTGTTCAAGATGCCCACATATTAAGGGAACAAGGTTTCACGTCGACATTGGGTGCCGTCTCAGACAGTTTTGATTGCAGAGGCAGTGGGTTGACCCAAGTTTGGGTGGGGCTTAGGTTGCTTCCACTT